GTCTCTGCCAGACCTGTTAGTGACTCTAGAACTAGATTTTAAGAGCCATGACAGGGTTCTTCTTACTTAGTAGGAGGGAGTGAATCATAATGGTTAAGTGTGTGGACCCTGGGATCAGACTTCCTGAGTTTGAATCCTGACTTCCCTCGCTGTGACATTTGAAGGTTTTCAGTCTCTCTGAGTCTCAGTTTCCAAACTGGCAAAATGAAGATAAGAGTTGTAATTACTCCATTGTGTTGTTTTGAAGAATGCAGGAGATAATCTGCATGACATGGTAAATGTTTAATAATCTTAGCTTATTATTTTGTTTTTCTCCAGTTTATTATGGTGCCGAGATCATAGCAGGCACTGGCTAAAGTTTTTTCTTGATAAAATACCATGCCTTACCATAGCTTCAATTCTACTATAAGCCAAATCACCTACCCAATAATCTTCATTCATTCATTCAGTACTCATCAGTCAATAGTCATTGGATGTCTCAGGTGTGGCATCCAGGACTGAGGATGCACAGTCATTAAGATCTTGTTCTAGAACTTAACTCTAATACAATCCTATCACAGAACATATCTTACTGAGTTAAAAGCATTTGTTGAGTATTTATGGAGTCAAGAGAACTATCCGGTATCTCTGGAGATTCAATATGATGACTCATTTTCCACCTACAAAGAGTTTAGAATTTCAAAGGGAAGGAAAAACATATTTGCAAAACAACTTCAACTGAATTTCAGGGCTGCCTCCTATGATCCCCAGTGGTGACTAATCTGCATATTTGTGGCATATGCTGAGCTTTTATCGTCAGGGACTGGGTCTAGAGTATTCCATGCAATGTCTCACTCAACCTCATGAGATAGTCCCTAGTGCTAACCCCATTTCACATATAAAGGAACTGGGCTCTGTGAGGATAGGTAGCTTGTCAAGGGTCACGTAGCTGGCAAGAGGCAGAGGACTGACCTCTCTCACATTACCCCCACTGTATCAGTTTGCTAGGGCTGCTATGACAAAGTACCACAGATGGGTAACTTAAGCAACAGAAATGTGCTGTCTCACTGTTTGTGAGGATGGAAGTCCAAGATCAAGGGGCTGACAGGATTGATTCTTTCTCAGAGTGGTGAGGGAGAAGGTGTCCCATGCCTCTTGCCTGGCTTCCGGTGGTTGCCAGCAATCTTCACCGGGCTTGTAGATGCATGCCCTGTCTCTGCCTTCGTCTTCACATGTTCTCCCTGTGTGTGTCTGTCTCTATGTCCAAGCCCTTGTATAAGGGCGTAAGTCACTGGAGTAGAACCTACCCTAATGACTTCATCTTAACTTGATTGTCTACTAAGACCCTATTTCCAAAGAAGGTCACATTCATAATACTGGGGCTTAAGACTTCAACACGTTTTGGGGGAACACAGTTCAACCCGTTACACTGAATTCTGAGGCTGCGGCTGCTCTCCTTCTACCTCCTTGCAGAGACAGCCTCCGTTAGCCTGGAGTTGCATCCGCCATGACATTCTAATTGGCTGGTGCCCTACTATACTTGTCAGGGGCCCTCTGCTTGTTGAGGAATGTCCCTGTGGTGCTGGCCACTCTCCCATTGAAAGGGACCAGTGGCATGATGAGAGGGCAGATAAAAAAGACAGGTCTCCTACATAGCAAAGTGCCACTGCAGCAAGAATGATGTAACTATGACTACTTACTGATCAATGATTATACTCCAGGCACTTCATTAAGTATTTTACATGCAAAAATCTATTCTGCAGAGAAACCCTAAGTGATGGGCATTAGCATATCATTTTCTGCAGGGAAAGACCTAAGGTTCATAGAAATTAGGTTCTTGTCCCAAACCACTGACCATACAATTATGAAACATTAGCAAATATTATCTTAACTATTTTGCCTCCTTCCCATGGAGCTTTGGGATTAAAATAACACCCTTTCCCCCTCCCCTGTGTTCTGGATTTGGAATCCTGCCTAGGCCTTATTAGTTCATACCCTGGGGTTGTGAATGAAGTTATGAATTACAAGGGGAGTAGCCACAGGCATTGTGACCTTGGAACAAAGCTGGGCAAGACCAAGGAAGAGGAAGCCTGTCCCCAAGGGTCCACCCTGCCATTTTCTCCCCAAACTGTGGGGCCTCACACACTCCACTACCTCATCTGGGGATTGAAGTAAGCCCAGGCTTTATTCTGGAGGTTGCCTTTGATGTTGCTGTAGAAAACACCATTGTTTTCATTGTTCTGTAAAGTGGGCTGGGGCAGCCTTTCCCAGGAGCTGAGTCCTTGGGCAGAGACAGAGGGGAGGCCAGGAGCAGTAGAAGCAGGGCCGAGGGTGCAAGGACCTGAACCGGGGCCATCCAGCTGCCTCCTGGGTTCTCCAAAGGTTTTTCTGAATATAAAGGTATCTATGATTGTTTTTCAGAAACTACAGAAGTATATAAAATAAAAACCATCAGTTCTTCCCACAATCCTAGCCATTGGTGTATAGGTTTCTACAATTCTGCTATACACAAATAAATGTTATATAAATATATGGTGGGTCAAAAGGCTCATATCATTCTTCATCCTCTTGTGCCACTTAATGATATGGGAACATCTGAACTGTCTATACAGAATGATATTCTATTTAATGGCTGTGTGGGGTTTGATTGTTTCATTGTGTCAATGAAACATAATTTATTTCACTAGACAGTATAGATAGACTTTTGTATTGTTTCCTATTTGTCATTCTGACAAACAATACTGAAATAAAAATTCTTTGTCTTCTTACCCAATTATTTCTTTGGGATTAATTCTTCAAATTAGAGCTGCTGAGTCACAGGGCAAACATATTTAGAAGTTAAAACATTTTGATGTGCATTTCCAGGTGGACCTTCCAAAGTGTTAGATTTGGTAACATTCCCACCAAGAATATCTAAAACTACCTGTTTCCCCTCCTCTGCTCACTAAGCATTATACATTTAAAATTTTATGTTTCATTTTAAATTACATTTTTAAAAATTGAATGTGAGATCAACCATATTTCCATACTTTGTGGCCACGTGTATGTGTATTTCCTTTTCTTAACTGCTGTTGATACTGTTTCTCTGCTGGAGTATACTCATGTGATCCCAAGGGAATAATGTCCTTGGCTTCTTTCTGGACATTCTCTACCAAGATGGAGATCTTTGCACTGTCTGGGGAAAAGGGTCCAGTGACCATGAGACTCAGAGGCCGGTTATAATCATTTCTCTATGAATTCGGGGCATTCATTCATTTACTCTTTCCTTCACCTGGAAATTATTCCTGTAGTAATCTATTGCTCTGGTTTACTCATGAATTATTTTCTCAAGTAGTTATGGAGCATCTGCGGCCTATGAAATGCCAGGTCCCCGTGAGACTCGAAGGGAAATCTGCTGGGGTGGTGACTACTCTCTCTGCCCAATGGGGACATCAGTATCAGTCCTGTAAATGGTGACCCAGGAATTCCGAGCCATCCAGGTTGGAGGAATGCAAGAGAGGCTGTGATCTGGGAAGACTTCCCAGAGCTGGTATTAAAGGATCAGTATGTTCTGGGTATGAGAAATGGGGAAAGGATCCAGCAGGAAGCAGAAAGAGGCAAGGGAGAGCCTCATTGGACCTGGTGTAAACAAAGGCAAATACTGGAGGCTTAGGCTGGCATGCGGGAGGCTGGCGGAAAGGCCCTTCCTAAAGGCGATTTGCAGGAGATGATGTGGGAGTGGGATAGTGGTGTGTGTCTGCAATGCTGATGCATGCAGACTTGCCTCTGTCGCCATTGGGATCTGGGGTAAGGCAGAGCTGTGTTTTGGGAAGATTATTCTAGTAGCATGAGGACCCATGGCAGGGGTGGGGGCAAGAGATGGAGGCAGAAACTTCAGTTCAGGCTGCTGCAGCCGCGAAGGAGAGCCTGTGTTACTGAGAGTGACGCGAGCTGGGAGCTAGGAGACCTGGGATTCACTCCCCACTCTGCCACCAGCTCTCTGTAAAAGGAGTCGCTTTCAGACAAGTCAGAAGACTGTCTCCCAAACATGGACTCAGCTCTGCATCATTTCAGAAATCACCAGCCCTTTGTGGAACATCCAGTGGCCAGGTACTCTCGGGGTGGAGATGGACAGAGAAGGCGCGATCGAGGGCAACCAGGGAGGCAGCCTGCGGGCAGGCGGGGCTGCGGGACCGCTGCAAGGGGAAGACAGGGGCTGCTGAGCTCTTCTTTTCTACTTCATTCTTTCTTACAGTTGTCGAGCAATTCCACCTTATGGGTGCTCCATAAGTTACTGATCTATTTCCTGACAAATGAAAATTTGCTAAGTTTTGTTGCAAATGATGTTGCCATGGAACTCTGTGTGTTTGATCTTGAGCACAAGGGACAGTGTTTCTGTAGGGCATTTTCTTGGTAGTGGAAGATATACCCTTTAGATTTTTATAAATTTTGCTGAATTGCTCTCCCGCAAAGGATCCTCTTTATTATTCGGGTGACTAAACTGAAGTGCAGGGAAGTTGGGTCCCTGGCCCCAGGCTATAGCAATGATATGGTTTTTATCAGGGTTTGAGGGTTGGTGGGTCTGACTTCAGACCTCTGTTCTTCCCATTAATCTATGCCATAAGTTCCTGGAACTCTTTCCACTGAAACCGTCTGATGTTTAGTTTTTGCTCCCTCACCCCATCACAACCAACAAGAAAAACATTGCAAAGACAGGGCCTTAGGTACCTGTGTGAGAGCAGCAAAGAAGTGGGGGAAGGGCCAGGTTTGGCACTAGGAGGGCACAGGGCACTCCCCAAAACAGAGCTGGTGGTGGCAGCTCAGATGTCAAGGAAGCAGGCTGAGTCTGTGCCCTGAGGAAGGCACTTCGTTGGAAGAGGGAGCCTTAGGAGCTTCCGGGGAGAAGCCCTGGGGACTTTCCAGATAGCTTACACTTTAACCCAGAAAAATCTTTGATCAGGGATTGTCAACTCCCAAATTCTTCCTGCCAGCTGAATGACCTTGAGTCCTCGAACATCTCTGCCCAAAGGGGAGATCAGAAGGAAGCTGGTGTCAAAAGCTTTTTTCCTGGCTCCCATGGGATGCTGTTACGATTCCTGGCTTCTCGCCCTTTCTGCTTTTGTTCATCCGCGCAGCCTCCACATGCCATATTTACAAAGACTTGGAGTGACAATTCACGGAGTTGGGTGCTCTCTGCGGTGCGATCCAGCTTCTGTTGGTGCCACCATACATTGTGCTGTGTCAGATGGTGGCATGGAGGCAGCCAGGGCTCGAATCCGGGACCTATGCCTTTGGAAGCTCAAGCAAGTGAGTCGATTTCTCAGCCCCTGTAAAATGAAGATACTAATATACCTGTCACAGGGTTGCTGTGAGGGTTAACTGAAATTATCATTGTTTTTCATTTTCCAGATTCCCCAGGTGCTTAGGGGATGGCTTCTGACATTTAGCGAAGAGCTGAGTCAGGGTAAAATAATGGAAGCTTTGAAGGGATGTTAACCACATGCTAGGCAGCATTCTAAATCTTTAGATTTATCGGATTAGTTGTCTATTGCCCTGTAACTTATTCTCCCAAAATTTCAGTGACAAGTATTCAACACTATTACTTTCCTTTTTGTATCTCATACCATTTTTGTGGGTAAGGTCCCTGAGAGCAGCTTGGGTGGTGGTTGTGGCTCAGGGTCTCTCATAAGGTCGCAGACAAGCTTTCAGCTGAAGCTGCATTATCTGAAGGCTCATCTGGGCCCATTTCTAAGCTCCACCTTCCCATGCTTGGCTCATTTGTGCTGGTTGCTGGCAGGAACCTGCAGTTCCTTGCCATGGAGACCCCAGATGCTTGCCATTTCAGAGTGCTGCTCAAGCATCCTTATGACATAGCAGCTGGCTTCTCCTACAGTGCGCCCTCCAAGAGAACAAGCCAGAAGTTGCAATGTCTTTTATGACCTGGACTTGAAGTCACACTCTGTCATGTTTGAAAATCCTACTGGTAACACAGTTCAGCCTCATCCAATGTGGGAGGGGACTACACACACAAGGACAGAGATACTAGGAGGTGAGGATCACTAGAGCTATTCTGGAGGCTGGCTTTCCATGTATTAACTCATTTAAACCCTGAAATGTGCCTGGAGAGGCTTAGTTAGAAGAGACTGAGGTGAAGAAGCTGGGGCTGTATGTGGGAGATCCAGAGTTCAGAGGTCCTAGAGGCAGCACTCCACACCAGCACGTGCAGGGTGTGTGTCGTGCCCACTGGTCCAGGGGCAGCGATGTCTGCGGTCAAGGGTGGTTTGTGAATTGTTCCTGGCTGTGTGGCTTCTGAGCTGAAATCTTCAGCCCTGTTGGAGATTTCGGGGGCTACCAAATATAATTTGCTTGAATATAATAGTTGAAGAGGGTTCTATTATCTGCAGTGAAGATCTGCAATGACTGTTACAAATGGTCCCAAATGCAGGGGACATATTATTCTTGTAGGCTGAATATAGTGAGTATGAAAGCCATCAGCTTAATGTAATGGTCTGAATGCCACATCATTTTAGGGTTTATTAGCATAAACATAATGTTTTACAATAAAAGAGGTGAGAGTGTGTTCCTACTCTGTACTAGTCAGAAGACAGCAGGAATATTGTGCCTGGAGGCTATTTTTTTAAAAATGGGGACAGTGACAAATTGGAGCATGCCCAGAGGACAGAGGCCAAGATGGTGGGGGAAACACAAACCATATGCCCTGAGCCTAGGGATGTTTTCCCTGGAGAAAAGAAGACACTCAGGGGGCCATGGATGCTGTTTTCACATATGTGTGGAATTCTCATGGTGCAGAGGATCAGAAAGAATTAGATTCAAATCCTGGTCAGTTCCTCTTTGTGGCTCTGGACAAGGTCCCAATTTCTCAAAGTCCTTTATGATAACACCTGGCATATGGCAAATGATTAGTAAGCATGAGTCCCTTTCCTCTGTACCCTCAGTACCAATAAGGGTGTAAGAAGCAGATTTACACTTGGTATGAATATGGAATATAGGCAGTGAGCCTTTAGAGAAATCCAAGCACAGACTGGACAACCACTTGACTGCCCACCCTCATGGAACCCTTCTGGAAGGCTGAAATTCAAGGTAAGAATATTATGTGCATTTTCTCACTTATTCCTTGTGAGAGTCTTATGAAGTAAGTGTTACTCATCTTACAGATGGGGGAACCAAGGCTCATAAAGGTTAAATAGTTTGTCATTCCAAGTGGCAAAGTCAGCATTGGAAGCCAGTTTCCTCTGACTCCAAAGCTAGTGCTTGTGACCATAATAGTCTGCTGAAGTGGAGGAGTGGGGGGGAGGAGGGTAAGAGTGGGGGAGGGCACGCATTAGCATGAGCTGGCACAGATGTCCTCTAAGACTCTTTCTAATCAGAGTTTCAAGATCCTTTGGTTTCCTCTGGACTGAGGAACAAAGCTCCTGGCTCGGGCTGTGCTTCAGCCTAGACTCCCAACCCCCTGCAGAATGTCTGGCACACCACTCTGACTTCCCGCTTCTGCACGCCTGGAAGGAATGAGACAGTGAAGGGGCCTGAATACTCCCCGAATGCCAGGGCAGGCCCTCGCAGTGGGGCCCCGGCAGCAACATTGTGCAGCCAGGAGAAGCAGGCCCTGGAATCCTTTCTTTTCCAGAGAATTTATGTGCAGGACAAAAGGAGCCATTATCCCCAGGGCTGCCTCGGTGGCTGCTGAGGCCTGTGGCCCAGGTGTCACATGCTGTCCCCATCTCTCAGCCTGCTCTCTCCCTTTGTCTGCAGGAACACAGAGGTTTGGCCCTTGCTGCCTTCTCTGACACTACCCCAGCCACCTTTAGGCCTTGGTCCCTGGCACTGCTTTTCTGAAATGAACTTGAAACTCCGTGGACTTGGAGAGACCAGTGTCAGCTGTGAGGGTGATGGACGGGGTTTGGCCACCTGCGGTTCCCCACCCCACACTGTGCCCTGTTAGTGGGGCACCTGGCAGGTTCCTTTGGGGGATTTCCCTGCCTACAGAGTTCAGCCTGAGCTCCCTGGCTGAGCCTGCCAGGCTCTCGTGCACTGGGCCCTGCCTCCCTCACCTTCATTTCTCCCCCTGCTCCACGCTCCTAAGCTACAGCAAAATGGTGCCAGCCTCAGCTGCCACCACGCATTCCTCCTCACTTAGAAAGGTGGGAACCTTTCTTTACTGGCTAAATCTTCTTTCTTTGAGACCGGGCACAGGCGTCACTTCCAAGAAGGCCTTGGTCCCCTTCACTGTGTTCCTTTAGCGCCTGAGGTTGACTTTGCTCAGATGTTGCCCACCCCAGGTGGTGTGGGATGCTGCTTGCAAGAGGGGCCTCAGGGATCAGACTGCTTGGGTTCAAGTCCCAGCTCTGTCATTTACCAGCCATGTGACACTGGGCAAATTGCTTAACCTCCCTGGGCCTCAGCTTACTTGCCTATGAAATGGGGGTGACTGGGCTGCTGCCAGGACTATGCGAGATCACATCTGAGGTCAGTAAAGCCCCTGGAACGTAGCAAGCACTAAGTTGACATGACTATTACCATCATTCAACAAAGCATTTGTTATATGCCCAATTGTGCTGCTATCTTGGCTGAATTGGGGAAGCACAAAGAACAAGAGAGATGCAGTCTTGATGCTCAGAGAAATCTGCAAACAGAACCCTGAGAGACCTCATGGCAACTGGAATTCTGGTGGTAGGAATAATGGTTTGGGGTACTGCAGAGCCAGACCTGGAGAGGGGAGAGGCCCGAGGTAAGATTTCTGCATCCACACTGCTGGGAGAGATCTCTGTATTCCATGAAAGGTTGGGACGCTTCCAGTCTAAATGCAGACATGTTCTTATTTCATCACATTTTTGCTTCTTTGCAGGGTCATTCATACCAGCACACAAGCATGCAGTGTTATCTTCCATCTTCAAAAACAAGAACAGAAACTCTCCCTTGAGGCCACACCCATCTCTACACCATTTCTCAGCTTCCTTTTCTAGATTATTTTCTCCAAAGATTGACCTATTCCCAGACTTTACCCTTCTCCCCCACATACTCCTCCTTCCTCTCCCATCACCCTTCATCCCTCTAGACTAATCTGACCTAGACCTCCGTGACCTCCACTTTGCCCAAACCACGGGAAAATTTCCATTCTCATTGTACTTTGGCTTTGGGTTGTGACTTGACCAGGTGATCGCTTCCCCATTGCATTAGTTTTCTATGGCTACTGTAGCAAATCGACAAACATGTAGTGGCTTAAGACAGCACAAATGTATCATTCTGCAGCTCTGGCGGTTAGGAGTGGGAGAGGGGTCTCAGGAGGCAGAGCTGCAGGCCGCATTCCAAGAGCCCTGCTTCCACCTGTGCGCCCCCACCTCTGTTCTCCACACGGCATCCAGAGAGAAACTTTCAGAACCGAACTAGGGCCCCCTTCCTCTTGCTCGAATCCTCCAGTGGCAGCAGGGCTCATCCCTTTGAATAAACTGCAACATCTCTGGCATGCCCTCCAGTCCGTATGATGTCTGACCCCTGATATCAATCCAAACTCTTCTCGCGCCCATGACCCCCCCATTTCCTGCACCCAACCCGCCCAGCCTACTCGCTGCCCCTCACACACCATGTGTGTTACTGATGCAAGGTCTTCACAAGGCTGTTCCCTCGCTTGGGAAGCTCCTCTCCCAGACACCTATGTGGCCACTCATTACATTTAGGCCTCTGCTCAAATGCCACCTCTTCTGAGAGGAAGTTTCTGCATTGTTTTTCTTGTATCATATACATCTAATTGTTTACTCGCTCTCTCTCCGATTAGAATACAATCTCTGTGAGGGCAGAGAGTCTATGCTCTTGCTCAATTCTGGATCTACAAAGAGTACAAACAGTTCCAGGCATGTACAGTAGGCACCCCACATATGTTTGTTATCTGAATAAATGAAGGAATGAATGAACAGACAGACTTGCCTTGGACGGGAGTGAGTTGGCCTGAGGCTCCCTGTCAAGGACACAAAGGAGTCAGAGAAGGAGGCAAGGCCTCTGGGGGAGACCGTGTCCACGGCAACAGAGGCTGGGGCCCGGCGGCTGTCTTGGGGGCAGGCCAGGGGAGGCGGGTGAGCTGGTGGAGCTTGTGGGGACACCAGGGGCACCAGAAAGTCAGTGCCCAGCCTGGCATCCGGCTCAGACACTGAGACTCCGCCGCTTCCACCTCATTGCCCTGGCCTTGGCAGACCCAGCAGAAGGGCTGCTGGCAGGGGCCTGGGTCTCAGCAGGCTGGCTTGGCACATGCAGGACAACTCCCCAGCCTTCCACAATCTTGCCCAGAGAGGCACCCAGAACCGTGAAATCCTGGGTCATCAGCCTAAAGGGAGCACGCCAGGTAGAGAGCGGCCCTGCAGCGGGACTGGAAGCGAGGGCACAAAACCCATGCCACCTAGTGCGCTACTAGGAATAGTGACCTCAGAGCAGCCAGCCTGCCTCTCCCTGGGTGCTGGGAGTGTCAGTTAGCTCACCTCGCCTAATCCTCACAGCAACCCTCTGGGAAGGGGCCCATGCATCCACAGTTAAAAATTGTGAGCTCAAGGGCAGAGAGGTGAAGGGGCTTGTCCAGAGTCACACAGTCAGTGCTGGAACTGGGACTCAGTAGCCCCTTGTCCTTCCGCTCCTCTTTGCATCCTGCATGTGAATCCCTGCTGTGGTCAGACACACACCCCACCTGCACTTCCTGGGACTGCTTCTCACAGAAACCTTTCTTCCCCGTGCTGCGGGTTACACTGTGTGTCTTGTCCTTTGTACGTTCTTGATTCTGGGCCATTTGGGAATCATATTTTATTCCTGCTATTTTGGTAATGAATACACATCATTAATTCTTTTGACAAACATCCACCGAGCCCCTGCTCTATGCCAAGTGGGCAGTGATGAATACAACAACTCTAATGCTTAGCAAGGAGCATCTCCTCTGTGCCAGGCTCTGTTCTATTGCCTTCATGTATAGACCCTTTCAGTTCTCACAGCTCCCATCTGGGGTAGGAGATGATCCCATTTCTGAGATGAGGACACTGAGATACCTGCTTAGTGAGTGGCAGAGTGGAGATAGAAACCAAACCCATCTGACTACAGAACTCTTAATCACTGCTCTATACCAAGTGATAAGGTCTGAGGGAGAAGAAGGGACATGGGCTGCAGGTGTGCAGGGGAGGGAGTAACACATTTGATTGGGTTCCTATGTGAAGGGACAATGAAGGATGGAGGGATTTCACCAGGTGGAGGAGGTAAGGACATTCAAGAACAGAGGGACAAATTCCAGACAAAGGCAGAGAATTTCAAGTACTGAGTGGGTTCAACACGCAATGGTTTCTAAGCTCCTTGAAGGCAAGAAAATAGTTTTGTCTACCTTTGTGTTTATCTGCTTCTCGATAAATATTTATTGAATTTAAAAAAATGGAAGATTTCATCTGGCTTAGCTCCTACCTTCTGAGTAAGAAAGAAAGAGCTGTGTATTTGCTGAGGGCCTGCTAAGTACCAGCCCTTTCCCGTGTATACGTCAGTGACCTTCGGGACAAGTCTGTGTGGGGAGCATCGCCTCTGCTTTTCAGACAGGAGACTGAGAGCAAACAGGAAGTGCAGCTCCATGCCTACCACTCACACCCATCAGAGATCAGAGCCCACTTCTTGTCCCCTTACCACAGTAAGTCCTCTGGAGCTGTTTCCACCTCTTGGGGTGATGCCTGTGAAGCCAGTGTAGGGGCATCATTTTCTATGACATCATTTCCTCTTTGCCCTTCGCACTTCCTCTCTCCTCCTCCCTGTGTCCCCCGCAACCCACTGAGGCCCTATTCTCCTCAGATCTAATAATCCCCTCCCTCTCAGAGTCATGTGGGTGATAGGACTTTCAAGGGGTGAGCATTTTTTTTCCAAAACTAAAAATTTAACTTTATTATTCCTTTCTTTATTACAGAGCATTCCATGCTCACTGCTGAAAAAGTTAAGAGATTCAGAAAAGCCACATGACCACTGCATGACTGGGACAAGCCTCATGGGAAATGAGCCTCAATTTCTACAAAATGTCAAAGAGGAATCAATTATGTATCCTGAGTGCATAGTTTCTATGTATAGATTTGTTCATCACAGCATGGCTTATGCTCTTGAGAAATTAGAAACTAACTGCATGTCCATCCATAGGGGATCACTTAAATAAATTTGGCATATCCATACAAGGTCCACTAAAAAGTATGATGTCAATCTCTATTTGTTAAGTTAGAAACTTCTTGGCTTACCATGGAATGATACAGGTAGTATTACCGTGGATGTAATGCTTATATATTCTGCTCTCCATTCTTTTCCATCCTGCTCTGTGCCCTAGGGTTTTGGCTTCTATGGACTGCTGTCGATGGGCTTTTCTGCCTTCTAACTCTGTCTGGGTTGGCCAGTGGGAGGCACTGGCAGTTGGAGAGCTGGGGTAGAGTGAGATCAAGGTATTTATTCCTCTGGTTCCATCTCTGTGGGTTTGCAGAGCTGGCTGTGTCTCTCCTGGAAGGTATAGTTCCTGATAAGCAACCCTCTCCATACGGCTCTAGTTTATAGTCACCGCTCCCTCCTCATGACCTTCAAATCTGGGGGTGATAATGGCTCCCCTCTTGCTGGTCCTGGTGCGCTACACTATTCCTTCCTGGTTTTCTTCACCTCTGCTCAGACTAGTGAAAACAGTCTTTTTATTAAACTTTCTTTGATTACTTACCAGAATGTTCCATCTGTTTCTATCAAGAGCCTAAGACAAAAATATAATCCAACTTCGGTAAAAATCTGTCCATCTGTAATCCAATAAGGGAAGTCTGGAAAGATGTCCATGGAAGCATCGTTGTCTCAGTGTGGTGAGATTTTTTCTTCTTTAGGTTTTCCTGGAAATTTTAAACTTTTCTACAATAAGCGGGCATTGTCTTTGATTCAAGGAAAACAAACAAGCAAATAAAACAGTTGTAAAGGTCAGGTGACAGCAGGACATGAGAAGTGCTTTGTATATTGGGAACTGCTGCTCAAACTTGAGGTCCTAATGAGTGAGCCAACTGGTGAAGGATTTCTAGGATATTTGTATTGAGACCCGATTTCCTCAAAGGAGACTGATTTCCCTCTCCAGCGAAGGACTCAGATGTAAATGGACCAGCCCTACATCTGGGGCTCTCTTCATTCTGGAGCATCTCAGCAAACAGCCAAGCTCAGAGCAGCTCTTCTCTGCTCCCTCTGCCCTCCAGTCAGCCACCCACCAGCCTCTCCCCAGCCCCCACTGCGTGCAAGGTCGCAGAGAGCCAAATAAAACCTAGGGTAATGAACTCCCAGTGATACTGGCTCTCTGGTCTCACGGGTCAGCATATCTCTGCCAAAACAAAGAGAGTACTTCCAAAGGAATGCCTCCTTTTTTCATTGAACTTGGCAATGAATTAATCATTGTTTATCGGGTTGTGTGATCCTTGGTCCCAGGAATGGTACTAAGACATAAATCACAGCTCTTTGGGGGCGGGGTTGAGGAGGGAGCCCAGGATACTGTGAAGAGCTGTTTTTCTAACACAGGAAAAAAATTTACTTGTTTCCAAGCGGCTGGGAGTGCATTGTGGGCTATTTATAATCTGCTGCCGAGCTAAGGCGTTTCTGCAGCTGGGCCTGGGAGATAATCAGCATGGTTTTCTTCTCAAGCCAGGTCTGCTCAGCAGACCTCTCTTGTCCTGTGGCCCACCCTACCCTGGGACCTGGGCCTCCTCTGCCTGGCCTCCCTTGCTTGGCTTCAGCTTCCAAGATAGCAACAGGTACATTTAAAAGCAAAAAGGCCAAAATACCTCCCAAGTCAAGGATTGTGACCTGCAGGCAGATGGATTTGCCTGGAACAGGCCTGTGGAATGTCTATGGAACTTGGCACAAAGGTCCTTTCAGAGCAATGGGGAACACGCGCATGCCACAGGCTTTCATCCCTTCTCCCAGAAGTTGCTTCAGATAGAAAAACAGGGTCCCAGGGAGGGCAAATCCCAAAGTGCTTGCACGGTATGTCTTGGCAGGAGGGCAAGTATCAAGGCAAAGCTCCTGGAACAGGGCTCAAAAGAACCTGACTCAGCCCTGCCTCTACGGTGACTGCCTGGGGACCTGGGGCGAACCCCTTCATGTCTCTGGACCTCAATCTCCTCATCCATAAGGTGGAGGGCTAAGCTCAGGTTTTTTCCCACACTTTCAAAACTCTTTAAACATCTTTTATAAAAACCATATTGCATGGAAGTGGAGTATACAAAACACCCATAAGCACGGTAACTGGTTGAAGTGGAGTGAGGAGGGGGTTGAGCCTGAAAGCCCCCCCACTTAGCCTCTTTTTCAGCCTGACGTGAGGGATGAAGGATGTCCAGGAGCCTAGGGCTCCATCAGAGTTTTTGTCACTGCCTACTCCATGGTCTCTAACATTCTAAGCTTTGAAATTCATTTATCCACTCATCCTCCACGAATATTTATCCAGCTCCTTCGTACCATGTGTCAGGATGGACTTGGTGCCAGCGATACAAAAATGAAAAAGCAAACCACTGTCCTTGCCTTGTGGAATTTACAGTCTAGTTGGAGAGGTAGATATTGATTAAGTACACATTTATTTAATATATTGATTAAATATATATAAGTATATAATATATAATAAATACATCTTAATATATATAACAAACATGTTTATAAGATGAGGCTGTACTGAAGTAGTTTGGATCCTAAATCCGATATGACTAGTGTCCTTACAAGAAGGGAAAATACAGAGAATGCCATTGATGACCCAGGCAGAGATGCCTTTACAAGTCAAGGGTTGCTGGCAAGCCACCAGAAAGCTAGGAAGAGGCAGGGGCAGATCCTTCTCTAGAGCCTTTGGAGGAAGCGTGACCCTGCTGACAACTTGATTTTGGACTTCTGGCCTCTAGAACTAGGAGAGAATAATATTCTCTTGTGTAAGCCACCCAGCTGTTAGCAGCCCTAAGAAACAAAAATGCCACTGACACCTGTTATTGCAGTAGTTATGTTTTATAAAGTCACCACAAGGGCTGAATCAGTGAGTACTGAGCCACTGCTCCTAGGGGAAATACAGGGTGAGGTTCCTGTGAGTCTGCGACCATAATATTTCCATCAACCAATCCATGCATTATCTTGGTTTATGTGTGCGTCTGTTGAAAGACATCTTATTTGATATGTGTGTTGATTCATCAACATTGAATTCATGGCCAACAGCAATACAACTCATGCGTGAATGAAGCTTACCTAACACACATCTTTTCTTGGGAAGGTGCATCGCAGCCTTCTTGCGCTCAGGAACCCTAGACAGCACAACCACTGGGGGCTACTTTAAACAGCAAGACCACCCACCAGAAGCCCCAAAATGCAACTAATGTGGCACAAAAATGGTTGTGGAAAGGACAATTGTTTAGAGTAGGAAAACCGGAACAATGTTGTCTTGTTGTATCTCTGTTGGGAAGATGTGCATTGGGCGCCTCAAATTTTTGCCCATGGAAGCACTACAAGCATTGATTCAGGGGATGCAAATAATTTAGAGGGTAGGAAAATTTGTAAATGCAAAATCTGCAAATAATGAGGATTGACTATAGACACACATATATTCAAACTGTAAGAAAGGCTGCAAAAGACAAGAAAGTGTTTTGAAAGACAACAGGGAGCGCTTCTCTCAGCTGGCATGGTCTGGGGCCACCTGAGTGGTGGCATTTCAAGCCAAGGCCAAAGGGCAGAGAGGCCCAGGAGCAGAGGGCAAGGGCTACCAGCAGAAGGGGCAGCTCGTAGGATGTCTGAGGACAAGAAAGAGCATGGCGCATTTGTGTGAGGTGGGGTGGTGCAATGAGCAAGATGGTGAATGATAAGGGTTGAGAGTTCTATTTAAAGTACTCTTGGAGTGTTTTGAGCAGAAAAATGCAACGTCCAAAGTGCAGCTCAAGTTCTCTCTAGCTGTTCCCTGGGTCTGCCAGAATAAGATCTGGTTCCCTCAGCTGGCTAATCTGAAAATAAATTTGTGGTACTCTCAAATCCTTCTTTGGATTTATGCAGGGTTATAAATAAATGCTAAGAAAGGTGTCATGGCTTGGTCACATCTCAGTGTTTTCTGCACACAGTGGTATGTAGTTTTTAAATCAGATCTACTAGGAATACAATGCCTCAAACTGAGGGAGTAAGTCCTCCATGTGGCCATTTCAGCTCCCACAGCAGGGAAGAGGAGGGTGACATTTTTAGAAGAGAGGCCTCTCAGTGCCCCTCAACCATGCCGGAGGCACAGCCCTGCCCCAGGCCTGGCCTGCAGGCTTTCATCAGGGATGAGACGTGGGCAGGCCGAGGTGCCCCTGTTGCCAGGAATGCCTGACCGCAGACTGCTCTCGGGTGTGGCCCGGAGCTGCCTCCTCTTCACATGACCCCAAGACAGCTGGCTTCCTGGCCTTGTGCAGTCGCCCAGCAGCAGGAAGGAGCATCAGCACAGTGTGAGGCGGCTTGTGTTTAACCGCGCATGCTTGTCACGTGCTCTGGAACAACCCGCCTAGCCTCACCATGCCTGACCGCAGTGTGTCCTTCTGACATTAATGACTGTCCCCTTCAGCCACCACCGCACCTTACCCGAGGAAACAGTATGAAGTTACAGACATGCTTGGAACTTGTGGGCAAACTGTGCTCCGTGAGTGGGAAACACCAGGACAGCCATCTTCCCGTCCTGAGGAGAAAGTCCCTTGTTCGTCATAGACACTCTGAGTAAGCGTGCTCCTTGGTGTCTGATGAGTAAGGAAGCCCTCACACTGTCTCATCACATTTTCCTCCTCCTCTCCATGGCTTACCAACACTGCCTAACATAGGACATGCTGAGGCATTACTGAGTCAAAAAGAAGAATGACAAATAAGTGATTTTTCTGGCCTTGTATTTGAAAGGCAAATTCAGTTCAATAGTTAGCCATTCCAACCCCTGTGACAGGTATAGAGGCTTGAACACACTTGTGAATTTAATACAAAAACTGCCCGCCTGTCTCAGAGAAACAGCCTTTGTTCCTCAGTTTACCTCAACACTCAGCCTTTCAGTCAGCAGAGGGTTGTAGGATCGTCTTGCCCAGAGGCTGTGAGCTGTTGTCCCGGTTCTGACACTTCCCAGAGATGCGTGGTCACGTCACTTACCCTCCTGGGGCCTCCTGTCTGCAGAGGGTGTGTACAGACCTCCGAGGCAGCCTGCTAACCAGCCGTCTCCCTGCTTCCACGAGCAGGTATTTTATCACATTCTTTTGTGCTTAAGGACTCCAGAATTAGATCCCCAGCACAGGCCTGAGAAACATTTACTCTGTGGGAGTTCAAACCAAGCAATGAAAACAAGCAGGGAGCCTGTGTCCTGAAGTCACCTCTTCCTGGGAGGTCCAGGAGTGCCCCTCCACTTGCCCTGATTCCTGCTTTGCTTTCCTTACAGGGCAGCCAGAGCCCATGTTTGCATGGGGATGGACAAGTGACACATCCCCTAGCAACTGCACCTAGAAGACCCCACACTTTATAGAACCTTTGTCCTCAGAAGGAGCTGTTTTGGATAAAATTATCTCAAGGTTGCTTAAACTCCCCAGACTCAGCTGAGGTCAGCAAGTATGGAGGAAGCTCCCCATGGGTGCAGGGCTGGGCTGGGTGTTGGATTGTGGGAATAAGGAAGATGGATGCCAGACTGAATATGCCAGTCCAGGCAGGGCCAGAGAGAGCTGAAGTCACCTTCAGGAACCAGGGAAGGTGACAAGTGTTGTGATGGAATAAATACAGAGTGCTAAGAAATGACAGACCAAAACATTCAAAAAAATTCAACACACATTCATGATAAAAACTCTCAACAAAATGTGTATAGAGGGCAAGTACCTCAACATAAGAAAGGCCATATATGACAAACCCACAGCCAACATCATACTGAACAGTGAGAAGCTGAAAGCTTTTCCTCTGAGATTGGGAACAAGACAACAATGCCCACTCTCCCCACTTTTATCCAACATAGTACTTGAGGTCCTAGCCACGGCAATCAGACAGCACAAAGAAATAAAAGGCATCCAGATTGGTAAGGAGGAAGATAAAGGAGCCACGGATATACAATGGGGAAATGACAGACTCTTCAACAACTGGTGTTGGCAAAACTGGACAGCCACATGTAAGAGAATGAAACTAGATTATTGTCTAACTCCATACACAAAAGTAAAATGCATCAAAGACCTGAATGTAAGTCCTGAACCCATAAAACTCTTAGAATAAAACATAGGCAA